ACTTGATTTCCATATCTCTGCATTTACGTTGGCTTTCATGTTAAAACTCATCAGTATTCTTGGCATGGGAGGCTAACAGGCTTACAATGTGCAGAGAGAAGCCAAGCTGTCTATTTATATATAATATATAGTACAAGGTTCTATGTATTTTTAAACAGGCCGTGGATTGTCAGATATGAGGACATGATAGTCTGGGTTAGGGTTTCCTGGAAGAGTCTTGGGTCTTGAAGTCTTGAAAGTCTTGACGTTGACCTTCACTGTGCCAGAACCAGCCAGCCAGCTGTTGTTGATTTCTGCTGCTACACCTGTGCAGACACTTCCATCAAAGGGATCAGCTTGCCGTTTCCTCCATAGCCAGGTCTTTTGAATGATCTGATTAGCTTCTTAAAATAGTTACATGAAGCTTGTAAATGGCTTAGTTTGATAGCTTAATTTGCGGCGCTGCTCTGTTTTAGGGAAAGATTAAGAAGGCAGATTTTATAAACTCGCACATTCCAGCTTTGGAAAAGTGGTATGGAAAGAAGTGTGACTTTGTCTCACATTCAAAAGGTTTTGTACTATTAAATATTAACAGGTAAAGGAACAAGGGAAACACAGGTTTCAGTGAGTAATTAGTTCTGGGCAAAAAGGCTTGCCTGTGTGTGCTGGATGGTTCTGTAATATCTATTAAAGGCTGCTATAAAGCAGGGTTGCCCAGCAACACAGCCGCTTGTATAGCACCCATGAGCTACCGAGAGTCGAATACATTTTCTCTGAACATCAGCCTGCTAAATCTGCCATTTCTTACGGAACATAAACTGTCTGGTGCATTTTTCCAACAACTTGTGGGACAGACTTCATCATTTCTTAAGATTTCATTGACGAATGTTGAAAGTGAAACTGAAAAGCTGCATCTCTTTTGAGAGTTTTATCAAAAACCAGACAAATATCTGAGTGGTTTACAGCCCGCATTTTATACAGACATCTGTCTAACAAACACTTCATTGTTATTTGTTCCTACATGTCACCTTTAGTTTCTGAAGTGAACTTTGTGCAGTTTTTCTTCTGCACAAGATGCTCCGTGCTGAATAACCAGAGAAAAGCGAAGCAGTGAGAGACTGCAGGTGTATGTAGATAAATCAGAATCTATGTGCATTCTGTGGCGATGCAGGATACGTATTACATCACCAGATCTTCCAAAACTGGTTATCTGGAACAGGGTCACAAATAGCCCCGCCGAAGATGCAGGAACCTCTTTGCACAGGACGCCAGTCCATCACCACGCACACATTAATCTCACCAGTTGATCAAACTGCACATTATGGGACTGGAGGAGAAAATCATCATATATTTTGAGATTTACTTCAAAGACCAGTTATTTAACAGTTTTGAAAATATAGAAATACAATGATTCAAATCAACCAGAAGCAGATGGTCCAATCCCGTCAGTCTCCCATAAGAAATAATTCTTATCAGCTTATTTGCTTTCTATTGATTTATCAGAATTAAAGAGTTAAACAATCAAACAGCACTTCCTCTTTTCAGCACTCTGAGGTCCATATTGGCACATCCATATTGCCCATTCAGCGAAGCCATGGCTGTTCAGTTCAGCAGAGATGCTGTTTATGCTATAGCGTCGTTGCACATCAGTTTAGCCCCATGGTTTTCATTAACGTTGTTCCTGGTCAATTTAGCCCCACTGCTGTTCTACATTAGTACTACCGCTGTTTAGGTTAGCCCCCCTGCTGTTCTACATTACTACTACCGCTGTTTAGGTTAGCCCCACTGCTGTTCTACATTACTACTACCGCTGTTTAGGTTAGCCCCACTGCTGTTCTACATTAGTACTACCGCTGTTTAGGTTAGCCCCACTGCTGTTCTACATTAGTACTACCGCTGTTTAGGTTAGCCCCCCTGCTGTTCTAC